GGTGATCCACCCGCCTCGGTCTCCCAAAGTGCTGGGATTACAGGCGTGAGCCACTGCGCCTGGCCCCTAAATGTAATCTTTAAAATGGGCACAATGTTGATATGATTTCAAGGGAAAGGCGGCAGCTGCCTGCGGTGAGCCCTCCCACCTCCTCCATAGCCTGAGTCCCGGCCTCCCACTGTCCCTGCAGGGCTCCTGGGAAGAGGACGGGCCTTCCGCCTTCGCAGGTACAGGCAGTGGGCAGCGTGTTCTCCACTGCACTCTCATCACCAAATGAGGCTGCGTTCGTTCCCCATGGGCCTTCAAGCAGCATGGTGTCTCTCAGCGCTGGGCTCGGAGTCCAAATCAGAGGGCTCAAGTCAAGCTGTGGACAGGGCTGGGCCTCCTGGTGGCTGCAGGGGAGAGTCAGTGACCGCCTTTCCCAGCATCTGGAGGCGCCGGCATCCCTCGACTCAGGGCCCCTTCCTCCCCTTCACGGCCACAGTACAACCTCTTCTGGTCTCTCTTTCACCTTCCTGCCTCCCCCTTTAAAGGACCCTGCGAGGACATTGGGTCCCCGGATAACACAAGATGTTCACCGACCTCAGGGTCCTTCGTTTGTAGCACCTTCAGTCTCTGGCTGAGTGAGGTGGGCCAGGCCACAGGTCCCAGGGATTAGGATGGGGACTTGCCTGGGGAGGCTTTTGTTCTCCTGGTGGGTGTGTCTCTGGGGAGCAGCTTGGGAAACCAGCCATTTCTTTTTTTCTTTTTCTTTTCTTTTTTTTCTGAGATGGAGTTTCGCTCTTATTGCTCAGGATGGAGTACAGTGGCTCAATCTCGCCTCCTGGGTTCAAGTGATTCTCCTGCCTCAGCCTCCCGAGTAGCTAGGATTATAGGCGTGGGTCACCGTGTCCAGCTAATTTTGTAGTTTTAGCAGAGACGGGACTTCTCCATGTTGGCCAGGCTGGTCTTGAACTCCCGACCTCAGGTGACCCACCCGCCTTGGCTGGATGCAGGTGGATGCGGGATCCATCCTGCAGTGCTGGGATTATAGGTGTGAGCCACTGCGGGGCGGAAGCCAGCCATTTCTTTCCTATGCCTGCTGGGGTCCGAGGCGGGGTTGGGGGGGGCCTAGGGGAAGCCTCCAGTTCTGTTGCTGTTCTCTGCACCGTCCACAGTGGGAGATCCTGTGCCTGCCTCCCCTTGCCTGTGTCCAGCCATTTCTCTGCGCGGAGGTCTTAGCGCCCTGTAGGGGTCGACCTCCAGGTAGGCTGAAGGGCACGCAGGTTTTGTGAGTGGAAGAAACACATCTGAGGCCTGACCTTCAGACAAGCTGCACGTTCAGTCAGAATCAAGTCAGAGCCAAGCGGCATCTTGGCGCGGGCAAGTTCCCGTGGGGCCGCTGCCTTTTGCTACATGGTGTCACGGCTTGCTCCTTATCAGTCTGTCGGGGACGGGTGTCAGCATTCACGTCCCTCTTGGCAGTCGGCATTGGGTGCAGCATAAATTAAGGCCAAATTGGCCGGGCGCGGTGGCTCACGCCTGTAATCCCAGCACTTTGGGAGGCCGAGGCGGGCGGATCCCGAGGTCAGGAGATCGAGACCATCCTGGCTAACACGGTGAAACTCCGTCTCTACTAAAAATGCAAGAAATTAGCCGGGCGAGGCGGCGGGCGCCTGTAGTCCCAGCTACTCGGGAGGCTGAGGCAGGAGAATGGCGTGAACCCGGGAGGCGGAGCTTGCAGTGAGCCGAGATTGTGCCACTGCACTCCAGCCTGGGCGACTAAGCGAGACTCTGTCTCAAAAAAAAAAAAAAAAAAATTAAGGCCAAATTGCATTTCCTGCACCCGGTGGGACTGCAGGCTTAGTGTGGGCCTGGCTGCGACTTTGCTGGAATCTTTGATCTCGCTAGGTTTGTGGAGTTGCTTTTCAAAGGCGAGAGTGTGCAACATTCCTTGCCCCTCTTCTTCCCTGTAGCAGTGTGACTTGGAGGTCCCCGCAGGGCGCACGCCTGCCCCTTAACCCCAGGTGACCTGCGTTCAGGCTTCTAGGTCATCTTCTGTGTTATTTATTGTTGTGTTTTTGCCGTGAAGGCTGCGCCAGATGCATCTGTACCTCTGCCCTGTGCAGTCTGTCTGTGGCACGGGTTCTGAGGATTCTGAGTCTCAAGGTGGTGGTGTTGAAGCTGCATGGGATGGTTGCAAAACTGCTCTGCGAGATCTCGGCCTGTCCATGGCCCCCTCAGCGACAGGCAAGGGAGATTTCACCCCATCGAGAGCCGCTTTTGCCATCTAAGGGGATGTACCATCTACAGGTTCCAGGAATTAGGGCGCAGGCGTCTTTGGCACCGTTTCCTGCCAACTCCAGAGGATCAGACCTATTGACCTTTAGAGACCTTTAGAGATGTTACGGAATTATATTCAGTGGAACTTTTTTTTTTAAGAGTTGGGGTCTTGCTCTGTTGCCCAGGCCAGAGTGCAGAAGCACAGTCCTGGCTTACTGCAGCCTCAAGCCTCTGGGCTCAAGTGATTCTCCCACTTCGGCCTCCCACGTAGCTAGGACCACAGATGTGCGTCACCGCGCTCAGCTTATTTTTAAGTATTTTTTTAAGAGATGGGATCTGTGTCATCCAGGCTGGTCTTAAACTCCTGAGCTCAAGCAGTGTCCTCCCGCCTCAGCCTCCCAAAGCGCTGCGGTGATCGGCGTGGGCTGCTGCGCCTGGCCATGCTCAGTAGAATTTCTAATGGTCAGCTTCTAAGTTTCTGAAGTAAATATTTGAACTTGGTTTTTATTCCTTTGCTGGAATATTGGGCTCCACTTGCTCTTGTTTTCTTTAGACTCCTTCAGCCTGGCCCCATGTGAGGCTCCTCTGGTTCCGACTTCTGTGCTGACTTAGGTGGCATTGAGGTTGGGAGGGTCTGCTAGAATGTGCCCTGGAGCCACGTAAATAACATGCAAGTCACATGTTCCCAGCTGCCCCCCAGGAAGACAGTTCAGCCATGTGCTTTAATGCGGGCACAGCAGCTCGTGCCTATAGTCACAGCTGTCTTGGAGGCTGAGGTTGGAGGATTGCTTGAGTCTAGGAGTTCAAAGCCTGCCTGGCTGACATGGTGAGATCCCACCTCTACAAATTTTTTTTTTTTTTTTTTGAGACAGAGTTTTGCTCTTGTTGCCCAGGCTGGAGTGCAATGGCATGATCTCAGCTCACTGCAACCTCCGCCTCCCGAGTTCAAGCGATTCTTCTGCCTCAGCTTCCTGAGTAGCTGGGATTACAGGCGTGAGCCATCACACCCGGCTAATTTTGTATTTTTAGTAGAGACAGGGTTTCTGCATGTTGCTCAGGCTGGTCTCGAACTCCTAACCTCAGGTGATCCACCTGCCTTGGCCTCCCAAAATGTTGGGTGGGATTACAGCCACGAGCCACCACGCCCAGCTACAAAAAATTTTAAAATTAAAAAATTTATTTGGCCGGGCGGTGGCTCGAGCCTGTAATCCCAGCACTTTGGGAGGCCGAGACGGGCGACACGAGGTCAGGAGATCGAGACCATCCTGGCTAACATGGTGAAACCCCATCTCTACTAAAAAATACAAAAAACTAGCCGGGCGAGGTGGCGGGCGCCTGTAGTCCCAGCTACCCGGGAGGCTGAGGCAGGAGAATGGCATAAACTTGGGAAGTGGAGCTTGCAGTGAGCTGAGATCCGGCCACTGCACTCCAGCCTGGGCGACAGAGCGAGACTCCGTATCAAAAAAAAAAAGAAAGAAAAAAAAAAGAAAATTTATTTAAAGTAGGCCAGGTGCAGTGGATCACTTGAGGTCAGGAGATCGAGACCATCCTGGCCAACATGGTGAAACCCCATTTCTACTAAAAATATAAAAATTAGCTGGGTGTGGTGGCACACGCCTATAATCCCAGCTACTTGGGAGTCTGGTGGCGGGCGCCTGTGGTCCCAGCTACTAGAGAGGCTGGTGACGGGCGCCTGTAATCCCAGCTGCTCGAGAGTCTGAGGCGGGCATCTGTAATCCCAGCTGCTTGGGAGGCTGAGGCGGGAGAGTTGCTTAAACCCGGGAGATAGAGGTTGCAGGGAGCTGAGATCACACCACTACGCTCCAGCTTGGGCGGCAGAGAGACTGTCTCAAAAAAAAAAAACTTACTGTGGATTTTGCAGGGTGGCCCATCAACTGGGTATGTCCCCATCCCCCCGGCCCTGCTCAGCCATGGCCACTTCTGTGACCTCCGTTTCTGCAGGACAGGCACAGCCCAGTGAATGTTCCTAGAGGCAAGAAAGCCTGTGGGACAGAGCCCTGAGCTTACCCCCGCCGGGCATATGGCATGTGACTGCTACACCACCGCCACACCGCAGCCACACCACAGGCACACCGCAGCCACACCGCAGGCACACCGCCACACCACAGCCACATCACTGCCACACTGCCACACCACAGGCACATCACTGCCACACTGCCACACCACAGGCACACCACCGCCACCATACCACAGGCATACTACAGCCACGCTGCAGGCACACCATTGCCACACCGCAGGCACACTGCTGGCTGGGTGGGGCCATGTTGGCCGAGGAAGGGCTCTCCTGTGTCCACCGTCAGGCTGTGGTTGTCAGCCCATTCCAGTCCTGCCTCAGCCCAGCATCCTGAATGCTGGGAGCTCCACACCTGCCTGCCCCAGGGAGTTCCAGCCTGTTGAGTGTCCACCCTGCCATGGTCATTGTGTACATTCCATGAGCCGTGTGAGGGAGCCTCCAGGACCCATGGAGCTGCGTGTCACACAGCCCAGGTCCATCCAGCGCCCGTTGGTCAGGGGCAGGGCGGGGCCCTGCACAGGGCCTGAGATGGCGCCATGGTCTGCACCCAGCTGGGCACCCCAGAGCCTTGGCGGGCGCCAGTGCACGATGGGTTTCAGAGGCGGGTCTCTTCCCTTCCCTGCAGTTTGAGGCCGGGGCCACTCCCACGCTACAGGCTCCTCTCTGGCAGGCTGGTCACAGCTATGCTCTCTCTTCCCTTCAGGACTGGGTTATGACCCCTACAACCCCGAGCTGCCCAAGCCCCCCTCACAGAGGGAGAATGGCACCCTGGGCCTGGGGGAGGAGCCGCGCCCGGACGTGCTGGAGTTGGAGCTGGTCAACCAGGCCATTGAGGCCGTGCGCAGTGAGGTGGAGCTGGAGCAGCGGCGCTACCGGGAGCTGCTAGAGACGGCCCGTGAGCACCGCGCCGCCGAGGCCCCCGCCCTGGCGCCCCGCGGCCCCAACGCCAGCCCCACCGTGGGCCTGGACGAAGATGCCTTCCCACTGGCCTTCGACTACAGCCCCAGCAGCCACGGCCTGTTAAGTCCCGATACCGGCTACCAGCCCACCCCGCTGGCCACCCCTGCCGAGTCGGGCAGCAAGTACCTGCTGGCGTCCCTGGACAGGGGTCAGGGCAGAGGCGGAGGGGGCGGTGGTGCCCTGGAATACGTCCCCAAGGCTGTGAGCCAGCCCCGGCGGCACAGCCGCCCTGTTCCCAGTGGCAAGTATGTGGTGGACAACTCCAGGCCACCCACAGACCTGGAGTATGACCCTCTCTCCAACTACTCGGCCCGGCACCTCAGCAGGGCCAGCTCCCGGGACGAGCGGGCTGCCAAGCGACCCCGGGGCCCCCGCAGCAGCGAGCCCCACACCCCTGCTCCCAAAAAACCCTGTGACCCCTTCAGTAGCTGCGATGCGAGGTTCTCAGACTCGGAAGATGAGGCCACCACGGCCCCAGGTAATGAGCCCACCATCGCCAGCACCCCCAAAGCCAGGGCTGACCCTGAGAGCAAGGCCACTGGGCAGCCACCCTCCAAAGAGGGCCTGGAGGCCGAGGGGGGCGGCCTGCGGGAGACCAAGGAGACGGCCGTGCAGTGCGACGTGGGAGACTTCCAGCCACCCCCAGCCAAGCCCTGCTCCCCAGCCCAGGTCCAGGCCTCACAGGATGGGGGCTGCCCCAAGGAGGGAAAACCCAAGAAGAAAAAAAGCGGGACCCCACCTGCCCCCAGCTGCAAAGATGGGACCCAGAGGAAGGACAAGACCAAGGACAAGGGCCGAGGGCGGCCTGCAGAGAAGCCCCGTGCGGACAAGAAGGGCCCGCAGGCCAGCAGCCCCCGGCGCAAGGCAGAGCGACCGGAAGGGACCAAGAAGAAGCCATCTTCGGCCACTCCTGTGGCCAGCTCAGGGAAAGGACGGCCTGACCGGCCAGCGCGGCGGCCAAGCCCCACAAGCGGGGACTCCCAACAGGCGGCCAGCAGAGGCCCACCCCGCCCCCTCCAGCTCCCCGACAGGAAAAGCACCAAGGTCCCATCGGGGAAGCTGGTGGAGCGGAAAGCCCGCTCGCTAGACGAGGGCGCCTCCCAGGACGCCCCCAAACTGAAGAAGCGGGCCCTGAGCCACGCCGACCTCTTTGGAGACGAGAGTGAGGACGAGGCCGCAGGGCCGGGGGTGCCAAGCGTGTGGCCCCCTGCCCTCCCCAGCCTCAGCTCAGACTCAGACTCTGACTCGGACTCCAGCCTGGGCTTCCCTGAGGCGCGGGGGCCGCCCAAGCGGCTCAAGGCCTCCCCGCCCCCCTCCCCCGCACCGTCCTCCTCTTCGTCCTCCTCCAGCGCGGGGGCGGATGTGGACTACTCAGCCCTGGAGAAGGAGGTGGACTTTGACTCAGACCCCATGGAGGAGTGCCTGCGGATCTTCAACGAGTCCACCAGCGTCAAGGCGGAGGACAGAGGCCGGCTGGCCCGGCAGGTGAGGGCACGGGTGCCCGGGCTGAGCTCAGAGGCAGAGGACAGAGGCCGGCTGGCCCGGCAGGTGAGGGCGCGGGTGCCCGGGCTGGGCTCAGGCAGAGGACAGAGGCCGGCTGGCCCGGCAGGTGAGGGCGCGGGTGCCCGGGCTGGGCTCAGGCACGGAGGACAGAGGCCGGCTGGCCCGGCAGGTGAGGGCACGGGTGCCCGGGCTGGGCTCAGGCACGGAGTACAGAGGCCGGCTGGCCCGGCAGGTGAGGGCACGGGTGCCCGGGCTGGGCTTAGGCAGAGGACAGAGGCCGGCTGGCCCGGCAGGTGAGGGCGCGGGTGCCTGGGCTGGGCTCAGGGGCGGAGGACAGAGGCCGGCTGGCCCGGCAGGTGAGGGCACAGGTGTTTGGGCTGGGCTCAGGCGAGGCAGAGCCCAGGGCCTGGTGAGGGATGGTCTGTCCAGAGTGGTTTCCAGCTGGCTCAGAGGCGTGGGGTGGAGGCAGCTCCTCCGTGCTGGCCCCTGAGCCTGTTGAAATCTCAGGAGCTCAGGAGTTCCTGGGCGGCCCTGTTGCCCCTCCCCCACCCAGAGAGGTTGCTGGTCCCTGGCCACCAGCCAGGCTCCTGTGGCCGTGTGCACACAATCTGTTCCCACTGACTGGCAGGGGGATATTGGCCCACCCACCCACCTCAGGGGAACCCACCTCCGGCACACCCTTCTAGCCCCTCTCCCTTCCCCTCTTCTCCCCTTTCCTCCCTTCCCCCTCTCTTCTCCCCTCCCTTCCCGTCCCCATCTCTGTCTCTTCTCTTCCAGCTCCTCTGTCTCCTCTCCTTGTCCCCTCCTCATCCCCTCCTGCCCCTCTCTCCTCCCCTCCATCCTCCCTACCCGCAGTGTGCGGAGCTCTTGCGCTCCTGGGCCAGCTCTGGACCCCTGGGTCTCCTGGCCCAGTGTCTCCACATTGGCCACCAGGGGGAGCTCGCTCCACACAGACTGAGCCCAAGTGCTCATCCCGTGCAGCTGGTGCGCCCTGGGGCCTCACTTTCCCAGTGTGCTTTCACTCTGCGGCCTGGGGTATCCAAGCCGGGGCCCTGGGCGCACAGGAGAGGTAGCCTTGGGCATCTGCAGAACGTGGGACACCTGCCCGCCCCCCCCCCACCGACTGCACCCACACACAGCCCAGGGACTGGTGGCCCTGATCCCTCAGCTGCTGTGCCTGGGGGCTGGACTATGCCGTTCCCCACTTGCCGGGGGCGGTTTGAGGTTGGGGTGTGTTGGTGTTGGTGGGGAGGGCAGACCCATGCTGACGGACGGACATGTGTCTTAGCCCCCCAAGGAAGAGAAAAGCGAGGAGAAGGGGCTTTCGGGTCTGACCACTCTGTTCCCCGGGCAGAAGAGGAGGATCTCCCACCTTTCCAAGCAAGGCCAGGAGGTAAGGTCCAAAGAGGCCAGGCCAGCAGGGGCCTCTTTATATTTTAATGACCAGGTGGGCCGGGCGCGGTGGCTCATGCCTGTAATCTCAGCACTCTGGGAGGCTGAGGTGGGCGGATCACCTGAGGTTAGGAGTTCAAGACCAGCCTGGCCAACATGGCAAAACCCCGTCTCTACTAAAAATACAAAAATTAGCTGGGCGTGGTAGTGGGTGCCTGTAATCCCAGCTGCCAGGGAGGCTGAGGCAAGAGAATCACTTGAACTCAGGAGGCAGAGGTTACAATAGCCAAGATTGCACCACTGCACTCCAGTCTGGGTGACAGAGCAAGACTCTGTCTCCAAAAAAAAAAAAAAAATTATAAAAAATAAGGGGGTCTTGCTCTATCACCCAGGCTGGTCTTCCAACTCCTGACCTCAAGTGATCCTCCTGCCTCGGCCTCCCAGTGTTGGGATTACAGGTGTGCACCACCACACCCAGCTTCATCCCTCCTTTTTTTTTTTTTTTGAGATGGAGTCTCGCTCTGTCACCCAGGCTGGAGTGCAGTGGCGCGATCTCCACTCACTGCAACCTCCACCTTCCGGGCTGAAGCGATTTTCCTGCCTCAGCCTCCCAAGTACCTGGAATTACAGGTGCCCACCACCACACCAGGCTAATTTTTGTATCTTTAGTAGAGATGAGGTTTCACCATGTTGGCCAGTCTGGTCTCGAACTCCTGACCTCATGATCCACCCACTGATCACGAGATTTGCTTTTGTAAAGCATCAGTGATTTCCCCATTCGTTCTTCCACCCAAGTTTCACCATAAATTTGATGCTTAACATTTGCTTTGCTTTTAGCAGAACTCCTGTTGCTCTGATTGGAACTCTGTTCTAACTGATGTCTTACTTTTTTTTAGTGCCTCAAACTCCCTCTGGTTCAGACGTGTTATGTCAAGTTAGTATCAGTTTATTTGGGGGCAAAAAACTTGAAATCCATGCAAGTTTCGTCACAGTGTACTTTTTCCATGAGGTTTTTGAAGACACCTTATCTTTGACGCTGCCTGAGTCCCAGAGAGAACTGGCTCCTGCCTCTTCCTGTTAGATCGCCCACAGTGCTGGGGCGGGGGTCAGAGCAGGGACGGCAGCCCCAGGGTGACCTCCCGCAGACTGCCTGCTGTGCCGTGTGCGGCCTGGGCCTGGGCCAGTTGTCCAGCTCTGAGCCCCAGGGTCGTCTGTAGCCCGGAGACAGTAGTGCTTGTCAGGCCCCTGTGCAAATGCAGCGAGGCAGTGCAGGAAAAGCAGAGAGCCTGGCTCCCAGGCCAGCAGCCAGGAGAGTCCAAGTTGATCCAGTCCCAGAGCCTCCCCAGAGGAGGGGCTTTGAGGAAGATTAGGTGTAGTGGCATTGGATGGAGTGCCAGTCTAATCGGGGTAGTCCCACCTACCCGTGCCTTATCAGGGCTGAGGACACAGCCTGGGCACTGGGAGACACAGAGTGGGGGAGCCTGGAGCCACGTGGCATTGAGGACCACTGCTCCATGCTGCTTCCCCCCAGTGTGCCCAGCAGCTCAGAAGGTAGCCAAGGAGGTGGTGCCTCCGTCCCCCGAGCTCCAGCCACCCTCTCCCAAGCCTGCCTGGGGCCACCTGCTCTAGGTGCCCCCGCTGTGCTGCCAGGCCTTAGCATTTGTGGTGATGCAGGCGGAGCCCCCAAGGAGGAGTCCTGCGGTGCCCCCGGCCCGGCCCCCGACGGCACAGGAGGTGTGCTACCTGCGGGCCCAGCAGGCGCAGAGGGCATCGGCGAGCTTGCTGCAGGCCCCCCCCAGGCTGGCGGAGAAGCTGCCCTCCGTCCACATCTCTGCCCCTGGCGAGAAGAGGAGGATCGCCCACATCCCCAACCCCCGCCTGGCTGCAGGTGAGTGCTGACCCAGGAGGCCTGTGCCAGGGGGACGTTGGCATGTGGGCAGGAGAGGGCAGCTACCCCGAGGTCTCTGAGCTCACCTGAACCACGTGGTGTTTGCTCATGTGGCAACTTTGGGCCCTCTCCTTGGGGCCCTCAGCCTGCCTGTCTGTGAAATGGGGACTGTTGAGGAGTGCAAGAGGCCTGGCCCAGCACCTTCCTTCCCTGACCCGGCTCTGGGGTTACTAGGAGTCCAACAGCCCGGTGGGGACTGTGCTGAACCAGGGCTTGAGCCTGTGGTGCCAGGGAATGGGGAACCATGTCGGGGTGCCTGGCATTGGGGGGGGTGCAGGCTCCTGCAGGTGTGGCTTTCTGCCTGGCGTGTGAGTGGGGGGCGTGGCCTCTGATGGAAATGAGCACCGTCTTCGCAGGAGCGGGGCTGTGTTTCCTTTACTCCGAGAGGCGTGTCCTCCACAGAGTCTTCTGGAAAGTCGGGCCAGGCCTCAGTGGTGGGTGGACAGGACCCTTCATGCGGGGTTGTCCTGTTTCCTGCATCTTCACATCAGTGGTGTCTGTAGAGCAAGGAAGTGTCCCTGGAGGCAGGTCACAGATGAGGGTCCCCCAGAAAGCTCCTAAAAAATGCAGGTTCTGGTCTGGAGGCTGGGAAAGGACCTTTGTGTCTGGCAAGCTCCCTGGGAGGGCATGGCTGCTGTCCAGGGACCACTCTGAGCAGCCTGCTGGGTTGGAGACCCTGCCTCCCTGGCACTGGCCAGAGGGCCTTAGGGCCAGCCCCGGTGATTCCCCTGCAGATCCCATGGATCCCCCGCCCTCCTGTGCTGGACCTGGACTGAGGCCCTCCTTAGGGAGAATTCTCCAGGCCACTCTGACCTCCCCTCCCCAGAGCCCCTCACGTCTGAGACCTTAGCCCCAGAGAAGGGAAGTCACTGAGTTGGGCTGATCCCGGGACCCCACACACTTGCATCGGCGTCTGCGTGCTCGCGGTGGTCCTGTTGCTGGTCTGTGGTGGGTGCTGAGCTGTCACAGTGCCCTCGGGGCCCACCGCCTGAAGCGAGTCTGGCGTCCCAAGTGCTGGCAGTGCCACAGGGCAGGCTCACTGGGCTTGGAGGACTCCTGTGGCTGCCTGTGCTCGCCCCCAGCGTGCAGCCGAGGGAGCCTGGAGGGTCTCCATCCATTCCTGAAGGGCAAACCCTCCACTGCAAGAGGCGCGTGCCAGCCTGGCGGGCAGCCTGCTTCCTTCCTGGGTGGCCCGCGGTAGCATGAGCAGACTCAGCCTGCCTCCCTTGCACCTTCCAGGGCCAGATGGCGGTTCAAGGGATGTCGCTCTGAGACTAGGGCCAGATGTCCCCGCCACAGCTCCCCTTCCTGGGTCGATGCCGAGCCCCCAGTCCAGAAGCCCCCCACCACACAGACATACATGCCCAGGTTGCAGCTGCCCATGTGGCCAGCCCTCCGAAACAGCCCCTGCAGGCCTGACCTCCTCCCTTTGGTTTGTGACTTCATCAAAGGGCGAGACAGAACACAGAGGCCGCAGGGCAGGGCAGGGCAGGCCGCTGGTCACAATGAGCAGGGGGGGGTGCCCGAGACCCTCTGGTCCTCTGTCCTGGAGCAGGGCCTTTCCCTCAGACATCGATGCCTCGGGCTTGGGGTCGGAACACGTGGCAGAGGCCTGGACCGCCCCACCGCTGACGTGGCCTGAGCGGCCTCCACAGCCTGACCTGTGTCCTCTGCCTCGATGGACTTGCCTGAAGGCAGTTAGAGCCTGATGTCATTGCGCAGTCCCAGCCCCGCGCCCCGGCCTGGCCCCCTGCACGTGGAGATGCACGTGCTGTTGGCGCTGAGTGGCCGTGGCTGCCTGGTGCTCCGTCACGTGGTGATGGGCAGCCACTTGCACTGTGCCCACACCCCCTGTGCCCCGCCAGCCCCCACAGGTGCCAAAAGGACCCTCGCGGCCAGCGGCAGCCAGCCCTCCAACGGCCCCGAACCAGGCGGCCAGCAGCTGAAAACACGCACATTGTCGGGGATGGCATCCAAGACTACCACCACCATCACCCCTAAGCGAATCGCCCACAGTCCATCCTTACAGGTAGCACCTTCCGTCTTGGCAAGTACCACCACCCCCAGACCAAGCCCTGAGGCCCAGCCTTATGGTGGCCTAGCCCCTCCTGGCCACATGGAGCCTGCAGAGGGCCAGCCTCGCCCCTGCCCTGCGGGCCTTCGTGCTCCACACTGCAGTACAGCCTTCACCTTCCCTCCTGATGCCCTGGTGGTTTTTTAAATTTTTTTTTTGAGACGGAGTCTCACTCTGTTGCCCAGACTGGAGTGCAGTGGTGCGATCTTGGCTCTCTGCAAGCTCTGCCTCCCAGGTTCACACCATTCTGCTTCAGCCTCCCGAGTAGCTGGGACTACAGGCGCCCGCCACCATGCCCACCTAACTTTTTGTATTTTTAGTAGAGACGGGGTTTCACCATGTTCGCCGGGATGGTTTCTATCTCCTGACCTCGTGATCCGCCCGCCTCAGCCTCCCAAAGTGCTGAGATTACAGGCGTGAGCCACTGCGCCTGGCCGCCCTGGTGGTTTTTTTTCTGTTGTGTGTGGTTTTTTTTTTCGGTTAGTTGGTTGGTGTTTTTTTTTGTCTGTTTGTTTTTTTAAGAGACGGGGTCTCTGTTGCCCAGGCTGGAGTGCAGGGGCACTATCATGGCTCACTGCAGCCTCGACCTCCTGGGCTCAAGTGATCCTTCCACCTCAGCCTCCCGAGTAGCTGGGACCACAAGCCTGTGTCACCAGACCCCAGCTAATAATTTTGTTTTTTCTTTTGTAGAGACAGGGTTTTGCCATGTTGTCCATTGTCCAGGCTGATTGCTGATCTCAACTCTTGGCCTCAAGTGATCCTCCCGCCTCAGCCTCCCAAAGTGCTGGGATTATAGGCATGAGCCACCATGCCTGGCCTTGTTTTGTTTTTAATTAATAGACTACGTTTTTTGAGCAACTTTAGGTTTCTAGGAAAATTGAGCAGAAAGTTTAGCAAGTTCCCGTGTGCCCCCATGGCCTCAGTTTCCCATGCCTTTAGTTCCCCCTGCCCTCAGTTTCCCCACCGGTCCTGTCTTGCCTTGGCGTGTCTGTCCCTACTGGAGCCAGGCTGATCTGTCACAGTGCATCTCACTGTTGCCTCCAGCCGTGGTCATGGCATCATCGTGTCTGCGTTCCCGACTGGAGGTCCTGCGGAGGCCCTCACCCATGGCTGCTTTTGCCTTCCCTCTAGAGTTTAAAGAAACCCATTATCCCCAAAGAGTTTGGGGGCAAAGTCCCCACCGTCATCCGCCAGCGCTATCTCAACCTGTTCATTGAGGAGTGTCTCAAGTTCTGTACCTCCAACCAGGAGGCCATAGAGAAGGTGAGGTCCTGGAGTTCCTGTCTGGCCGGCCGGGTGGGGACTAGGGGTCCAGGGTGGTCCCCAGACATCCCCTGGCCTCTCAGCCGCAGCTGCGACCTGGAGCTGCCTGGGAGAGATGCAAGTCCCTGACCCCATGGCGACCCCACCACTGGGGTTCCCCAGCACCAGGCAGGCATGGCCTCAGCTGGGCACCACGTGTCCCCCAGGCACTGAACGAGGAGAAGGTGGCCTATGACCGCAGCCCCAGCAAGAACATCTACCTGAATGTGGCCGTGAACACCCTCAAGAAGCTCAGGGGCCTGGCCCCCAGCGCCGTACCCAGCCTCAGCAGTGAGTCCTGGCGGGTGGGGCGGGAGGCTCAGGGTTGCTCAGCAGTGAGTCCGGGCGGGGGAGGCTCAGTGTTGCCCTTGGGGTGGCAGCTGGGCTGAGCTGGGACCTTCACAGCCCTGAGCTCAGCTACAGTCTCAGACAAAAGGAAAGCGCGGGTGCCACGGGGGGCTGCCTGCTCCCTGGTTCCCAGGCTTCTGTCTGGGACTGGCCTGGCCCTGGCGTCCTCGCTGTCAGCCACCTTCCTCTGCCGAGTCAGTTCTCCGGGCCGAGGGGCCGCCTGCTAATGGAGCCGCGGCAGCCTCTTCAAAGCAGGAGGTCCCGGGCTGGGCCAGCTCCGTGCATTAAGCTCTTGGGGGAAGAAAGCAGAGACCTGGGCGTTTCATTGCAGCCTCTCCAGGCTGCATTAAGCCATCACTGGCCCCCGCCTCCGTCCCCGCCTCCATTAGCACTCGGAGAGGCCCTGGGTTGGCGTCGCAGGCTGGGTGGCCCGAGAAGGCTCAAAGCCCTCAAAAGCCATTAGATCCCCCGTGCTGTTTTCCCAGCCCTTCCCCCTTCGCTTGAGGGGAGAGGGCGAAGGCTTCGGGTGTGGGGTCTCCATGCAGCTCCCGGGCCTGCAGAGCTGGGGGCTACCCTGCATCCCTGGCCCACCACGTGTCTGCCCGGGGTCAGTAGGGCACTATCTCAGAAAGGGGGAGTTGAGGCAGAGGTCTGAGGAGGGCAGGGTGGATGGGAGAGCAGGTGAGGCGGGGGTCTGAGCCAGCTAGTTCACACCCTCCTCCCCTCCCCCTTTCCCCTCCTTCCAGAAACCAGTGGCCGCAGGGTTGTGTCCCACGAGGTGGTGTTGGGGGGCAGGTTGGCCACCAAGACCAGCTTCTCGCTCAGCCGCCCAAGCAGCCCCCGGGTGGAGGACCTGAAAGGTGAGGACTCGCCCCGCCTGTGCTCTGCCACATGGTGCCTCGCGGGCCCCCACCAGCCGCCTTTCCCGGTGGTGTCCACCACCCCGTGGGCCATCCCAGGCAGGGGCTGACCACCGTGCCTGTCCACAGGGGCTGCCCTGTACAGCCGCCTCAAGGAGTACCTGCTCACCCAGGACCAGCTCAAGGAGAACGGCTACCCCTTCCCGCACCCAGAGCGGCCCGGCGGCGCAGTCATCTTCACAGCTGAGGAGAAGAGACCCAAGGACTGTGAGTTGCTGGCCTTCAACGGCCTAGGCGGGCAGGTGCGGGACGTGGGCAAGGCCAGGCATGTGGGCCCCAGCGTGAGCCTCAGCTTCCGCCCGGGTCCCCCCCAACAGCTTCCTGCAGGACCTGCTGCCGCTGTGGCACCGAGTACCTTGTGTCCTCCTCGGGCCGCTGCGTCCGGGACGAGGAGTGTTACTACCACTGGGGACGGCTGCGCCGGAACCGGGGTAAGGCCTTACCCAGGCCCTCCCCCGTCCCACCCATGGTCCCTGGAACCTGGGCCCTCCCTTGAGGCCCCCGGAACTGGTGTGAGGCCTTACCCAAGCCCTCCATCCCACCCACGGTCCCTGGACTCCACTGTCCCGGGCAGAGCCAGGGCTAGCCCTTGGCCTCATTTTCTCTCCACCCGTTCTTTACGCAAAAGTAAGACAAGAGCTTTCCCATGACAGTGTTCAAATGCCACCAGCTGAAAGGCCCTGTGTCCCTGTCTTCCTGTGCCCGTGGTCCATGGAAATGTGGAGGCTGCTGGCCACACGAGCGGAGGGCTTGTCCCACCCTTGGCCTGCTGGTTCCATTCAGTCCCCCACGCAGCCACACAGCCATGTTCGGGGCACATGGCCAGCCTTGCACAGCCCTGCTGCGGCCCCTAAAGCCATCGCCTCGGGGGTACCTGGAGGGTCCTGCCCAAGGCGGCGCTGCCCGAGAGGCCTCTGCAGAGCGTGCTGGTTTCCCTGGATCCAGGCCTGGGCGTCCTGGCTGCCAGACTATTGCCGGGGCCTGGTCTGCTCCCAGCTCTGCCAAGAGGCTGAGGTCTCCTGTCCTCAGTCTTTACTTTCTAGTAGGGCTCAGCAGATGCGTGTGGTCAGTGCCCCGGGGGCTGTGGAGTGGGCCTGGCCGGGCCCTGACTGTCTGTGTCCCCTGCAGTGGCCGGAGGCTGGGAGACCCAGTACATGTGCTGCTCGGCTGCCGCCGGCTCTGTCGGCTGCCAGGTGGCAAAGGTGAGCCCTGGCATTCCGGTCCCCTCTGCCTGTTCTCAACAGACTTCTGCTTCCCCGTCGCTGGTCTTGGGTCTCAGGACACAGCACAGTCTTGGGCTCAGGGTCTCGGCCCCTGGGCAGCCTTTCCTGTGTTACCCAGAGAGCGTAGTGCCCATAGGCCCCAGGCCCCAGGCCCTGTCCCTGGCCACTTCCCATCCTGGGAAGCCGTCCTCCCTGTGTCTTCTTGGCAAGCCCCCTTCCCCACCTGCTCACCAGGGTCCCAGCCAGTGAACGGGCGTGATGGATGGATAGGACAGTCCCGAAGGGCTCAGAGATGTGCTGCTGCCACCCCCGCCCCCACTGCACCCCGAAGCCGCCCTCACCTGCCTTCTCCACCCCCAGCAACATGTGCAGGATGGCCGGAAGGAGCGCCTTGAGGGCTTCGTGAAGACCTTTGAGAAAGAGCTCCCAGGAGACACCCACCCAGGGATCTACGCCCTGGACTGCGAGATGGTGAGGCCGTTCTCTGCCCAGCCTCAGGTTTAGGATTGGGGAGGACCTGTCCTGGCGCGGCTGCCCCGTCTGGGCCCCATCTGGGCCCGGCTCACCGGCCAGTGCTCAGAGGGCTTCTTTCGCAGCACCGGTGCCTGCAGCTCCTGCCCTGGACCAACACCCCATACTTCCCAGCACAGCCAAGCCCTCCGGGCACTGGGCCCCGGCTCTGCCTGTGAATGGGAGGCAGGAGGGCTTTGGGAAAGGGGGTTGCTGAGGTCACACCCTACTCTGCTTCTCCTAGAAGCCCCACAGAGTCTCTGGCTGCTGCCTCTGCCTCACAGGGCTCTGGAGACCTGAAGGTGGGCAGGGGGCGGGAGGGAGGGAGGCTGGTCCCCGGGGCGCGTCTGAGGCGCGTCCCTCGCCCGCAGTCCTACACCACGTACGGCCTGGAGCTGACGCGCGTCACAGTGGTCGACACGGATGTGCACGTGGTTTATGACACCTTCGTGAAGCCTGACAACGAGATTGTGGACTACAACACCAGGTGTGGCCAGTGCCCTCTGGGAGCCGGGACCCCTCCCCGCCTTTCCTCCCCAGGGACCCACCCTCCCCGCCCTGCCAGCCAGTGCTTCCAGGCTGAGCCCTGGCGCCCCTCCTGCCTGCTCCCCCAGGTTTTCGGGGGTGACGGAGGCTGACCTTGCTGACACAAGTGTCACACTGCGTGACGTCCAGGCCGTTCTGCTGAGCATGTTCAGCGCTGACACCATCCTCATCGGACACAGCCTGGAGAGTGACCTCCTGGCCCTGAAGGTGCCCTGCCAGCCCGGGTCCCTCGCGGTTCTCCAGCAGAACCTGCGCAGGCCCCACGTGCACTAACCTCTGCCGCTGCCCGCAGGTCATCCACAGCACCGTGGTGGACACGTCTGTGCTCTTCCCCCACCGCCTGGGCCTCCCCTACAAGCGGTCCCTGCGGAACCTCATGGCCGACTACCTCAGACAGATCATCCAGGACAATGGTGAGTGCCAGCGCCTGCCCTGGGGCCATCCCTATGCAGGAGCCGGGTGCTCACCGCATCTGCCCCGCAGTGGACGGGCACAGCTCCAGCGAGGACGCCGGCGCCTGCATGCACCTGGTGATCTGGAAGGTTCGAGAAGACGCCAAGACCAAGCGATGACGCCTGCCCGCCTCCCGCCCGCCTCTCCTGCCGCCCCGCTGGTCCTTAGCCCCAGGCCTCTTCCAAAACAGTGCAATAAATCTCCGGTAACCCGTCCACCTGGCCGAGGCAGCCCAGAGCAGCGGGACAAGCTGGCGGCCGGAGAACGCCCAGCCCAGCCCACCCCCGCTCACGTCCTGCGCACCCCTCCACCCGTCCCCACCCTCTGCCCCCAGCCTTCTGGCGTCTCTAGAATTGCTGCTGACAGCGACCAGGACAGAGCCCGCCCCCCATCAGCCCGCAGCCCCTCCTGCCCCTCCAGCCAGGCCCTCACTCCCTCCCAGGTGGTGGCTGGCACCTCTGCTCCTCACATGGGTCGCGGGGCGGGCTTGTCCCGGGTTTGTTTGAGACAGTCTTTTTTTTATTTTGTATTGTTATTTTTATTATTTTTAATTTAAACCTGATGACTTGCACAGCACCTTTCCCACCGGGAAGAGCGGGCCTGCTGCCTTCCCTCCTGGGGGCTGGGGGTGGGACAGACCCCAGTGGGGGCTAGCCAGGGCCACACTCAGCCCAGCATGGGCTGGACCCGCCTCCGTGCTCCAGGGGCTGGCCTGTCTTCGGGGCGCCGGCTTCCACCACTCGCCGCCCCACCCCTGCACTCCGTGACCTCTGAGAACCCAGCCGGCCCCTCATTAGCCCCAGGGCCTGCGGTCCGGATGGAGCCCACAGGCGTCTGGACACTGTCTTCCCGCCAGAGCCCCGTCTTCCTCTGCGGGGCTCTCCGGACCCCCACTCCCGTCACCTCCAGGCAGGGACAGAATAAATGTTTGTATGGATTTTAGATTTGCTGGTCCTGGTCTTGGTGCCTGGTGAGACCTCTGCATGTGGCCCGGGAAGGTCACTGTCCCTACAGCTGGAACTGATTCTCTTCCCACCAACGCAGAGAAAACCGTGAAACTTTCCCTCACAAAAGCTGGCCCAGTGCTGGCTCCCCCAGGGCTGGGCCACACCTGCTGTGGGGTCCCAGTTCCAGCCCCAGATTGTGGGGCCACCATTCTGCAGGTTTTAGTGCCACTTGGACAGTGGGCAGTGTCCCCAGCCCTACGTGGAGCTGGGCCCTGTGCACGGAGCTGGCTTCACTCTCCACCTCGCCCAGGGATAGGGGCCGCATGCTGACGGTCAGAGGGGGTTAAAGAGACTGGGAGCTGCTGCGTGTTGCCTGTCGAGGGGATGGAGCGCAGACACGGAAAGCTGCTCCGCCCTTGCCAGGAAATGCCACGTCATGCGGTGCACGCACGGCTCCAGGCAACCTTGGTTGCATCGGGACCCCATTTGGGAATGGGAGGCCAGGGGTGTTTAGGCTCTACTTTTTATTCACTTCAAGTAGAAAAAGTGAGCCTCACAGCACAGGACCCAGCAGTTGAGGGCAGGTTGCCTAGAGGGGGTTTTCTGCCACCCTGGCCTTGGGCTTCTGCTGAAGGGCAAGGCCAAGGGCATGGGGCCCCAGATGAGGACGTGGGGGCCCTCCCCAGAGGACTCCATCCCAAGGCTGCAGAGGCAGAAGGGTTACCGTCTTGGTTCTGGGCTCTGCATCCCTCCTGGGGGACCGTGGTTAGGCCAGGCCCTTCCACCCTCGAGGGCTGTTCTTGTGACGAGGTGACGCTTCCCACCCCTTCTATAAAGGAGTTTTCTTTTTCTTATTTTTGAGATAGCCTTGCTTTGTCACCCAATCTCAGCTTGCTGCAGCCTCTGCCTACCAGGTTGCTGGGATTATGGCCTTGCCATCACACCTGGCTAATTTTGTATTTTTAGTAGAGATGGGGTTTCACCACGTTGGCCAAGCTGGTCTTGAACTCCTGACCTCAAGTGATCCACCTGCCTCGACCTCCCAAAGTGTTGGGATTACAGGTGTGAGCCACTGTGCCTGGCCCTGTTTTCTAAATAAATGGCGCAGGCGTGTATTCACTCTGTTTCTGTCCGTTCCCGTGTGATGTCTGCCTCTCTCTTCCCAGAACGCACCTGGTGCCTCAGGACATAGCCCACGGGGGTCCCAAGGCTGGCCAGCGCTGGCTTAAGCCCCCAGGGACCTCCTTCAGCTTGCGAAGCCACCTGTTGCCACTGGAGGCTTCAGGGCCTTTGCACAAGTGCCCTGGGCAAGCTCCTGCCCCCAGATAGTGCCCCCTGTGAAGGCTGGGGAGGGGGGAATCTGGTCCTCACAGCTGCACCCAACCAGGTCTCTTCTAAAGTTTATGAGAACAGTGTGTTCAAACCCCCACCCCCGGCTCTTTTTCATAACCACTGGGCAAGCAAGCGCAGGGGAAGTGTTGAAAGAATGAAAGGAGAGAAGTCAGACACAGTGGCCTGCCTGCCTGCCTGTGGTCCCAGCTACTCTGGAGGCTGAGGCAAGAGGATCGCTTGAGCCTAGGAGGTGGAGGCTGCAGTGAGCTCTGATCGCACCACTGCACTCCAGCCCCGGTGACACACCGAGACTGTCTCTAAAGAAAGAGGTTCCCTGGCAACCTCCAGGGCCAAGCAGACTTCCAGTTTGGGCTTCCAAAGAAAAGAGGGTTTGTGATCACCCAGAGCCCTCAGGTGTTTGCCACTTTGATGGGGGAGGTGGCCTCCCTATTCCCCTCCACCCATGTTTGCCTCTCCCTTTGGGTCCTCACCCCAGGTAGCCTCACTCTTGGGGGCATTTCATCTTCAGCAGCCCCTCCACACACACCTTCTGTCCCTGGGCTCCGGGCCCTATCTCTGGCCTGGACACGCCCTTGCCTCATCGCTGAACTCACCCCTGCCACTTCTTCAGTAAGGATCCCTGAGCCCCTGCCACCCGCAGGACAGAACCCTGCGGGCTTCCTCCTGGCCTTAGGGTGGTCTCAATGGCTATAACCGCCTCTCCCCAGCCTGGTGCTCAGCCCTGCATCTGTGCCTAGGAGGCGCTCGTTGAACGTGTATGGGATGAACGAACGAACCCAGGACACGCATCAGACACGACTTACATACCTGCCTTTACCTGTGGTCCTTCCTCCTGCACTCTGCCACGCTGTTCCCACCAGTCTCAGCCACGTCAGGTCTGCAAGGCCCATTCCGGCCTGACCCTAGCCCACCTTTACAAGAACCCCTCCAACCCCTCTCTGCGGTGCAGGTCCTTTCTGCTCCCTGGCCAAGCCCGGCCCGGCCCTTCCCTGACACCCTCTTCCCTTTGAGGCCCCGCCCCTGCACTGGCACTGCTCCCTAAGGCCCTCCCAAGGCCCTGCCGTCTGTCCTGGACCCACCCTGAGCTCCCTCCTACCCTGACCCTGCTGTGCGCGGCCCCGCCTTCCTCCTTGGTCACGCCCCCGGTCCTAGCCCCGCCCCTACCTTGACCCAGCTTTTTAAGGCCATGCGCAACCTCGCCTCCCTCTTTGGCCACGCCCCTGGATCCTGGTCCCGCCCCTACCTTAACCCTGTTTGCGCGTCCCCGCCTCCCTCTTTGGACACGCCCCGGGTCCTGGTCCCGTCCCTACACTGACTCTGCTCAGCGACACCTCCATTCGGCCCCGCCTTCCTCCTTTGTAACGGCTCTGGATCCCCGCCCCTGCCGTAACACTGCTGCGCAAGGCCATGCTCAACCCCGCCTCCCGCTTTGGCCAAGCCCCTGGGTTCTGGCCCCTCCCCTACCTAAACCCTGCTTGCGCGGCCCCGCCTCCCTCTTTGGCCACGCCCCGGGTCCTGGGCCCTCCCCTACTCTTACACCACTCGGCGACACCCCGCTAGGCCCCGCCTTCCTCCTAGCCCCCTCCCCACCCCAGACCCAGGCGCCGCCCCTTGGATGGCTTGGCCCCATCCTCGAGTCCCCGCCCCCTTCCTGGCCTTGGCCCCACCCACCCGTCCAGGCCCCGCCCCCGGCCCCCCTCCGGGCTCCGAACCGGCTTCACCTTTGCCTGGGCCGGGCCCCGAGACCCCGCCCCCCGTTTCAGGACCGTTGGCACCGGGCTAACGGTTCCACCACGTCAGCCGCTCTGGACGCCCGCGGCCTGCCCCAGGCAGCCTGGCCCCTCCCTGCCTGTCCTGCGCCGGTGATTAGCTGGTGCTCCCACAGCTGAGCGTCCCTGGGAGCCCGCGCACCCTCTCTGGGCTCCACCGGGGCTGAGAGCTGGGGTCGTGGCAGCGAGGGTAGAGAGGTCGCCCCTAGAGGTTAGCGCGGTCGGGGCTTGGGGGCGGGTGCGGACAGCCCTGGACTTTGGAGCCCTGTCCAGGGCGGTCCTGTGCCTCTGTGGCTGCGGGAAGACGGGGTGGGGGGCTTCTGAGTAATGGGGCGTCCCGGTTAGTGAGGCGGCAGGAAGCCAGCGCTGTGTCCGTGTCTGTTTCTGCCCCCAGATACACTTTGAGTGGATTCTGGCCATTTGAGCATTCTCTCCAACTCTCCGACCCCCAGTCTGCCCCCACGGGGGTCCCCCCACCACTCCCCCATCCTACAGCCTAAACCCCTCTTCGCCCTGAACCTCCCTTTTCCTCATGTGGTGAATGGGCACTGGCCCCGCTCAGACTCCCAGGAGCACCAGAGCTGGCCCTGAGCCAAGTCCTGCCCCACCAGGACCTGGGGACACAGGTGACTCAGACTTGACTCAGGAAGGCTCAGGTCCTGCTGGCATCCGCGGAGGTGGTGAGAAGGTGATCAGAGCTGGGATGGGGCACTCCCCAGGCAGAGGGGCACCCCAGAGGAGGCACAGGGCCCAGCCTGGTGGGGCTGGGAAGTATGAACGGAGACCAGAAGGGTGAGGACGGGCGCCCCGGGCCGCCGGAACCCAGGAGCAGGGGCTTGGTGAGGAGGGCACTGCTAGAGAGTGGGCAGGTGGGGGGCCAATTGCTAGCGTCTGGGGTGGTTTGCCCGTTCCTCACGGGGGGCCAAACCAGGGCCCCCAGTGCAGAGCTAGAGCCAGACCCACATTCCTAAACCTGCTAGTGGAGAAGATTCCAGGATCTTCTGACCATGTGCTGTCTGCCTCCATCGCCCCCATCAGAGTTATGCGCCCAGCCGGGGGGGTTAGGAGGGGGGATGGCCATGCCTGACCCTCATGCTGTGTTTTGAGATATAACATATAGCCCGGGGATCCCATCCAGTCAGTCAACAGACGACTGAGCCTCTAAGCTGGTGCCGCGTGGGGAGAGGGGCAGGAGGCCGTCAGCGAAACCAGGAGGAGGTGAGAGTGGTCCTTCCAGGAAAGGCGAGGTGTGAGGAGCAATGGCCGGAGTCTGGCATGGCCAGCGGTAGAGTCCTCCTAGGCTGAACTGGCGGGAGGCAACAGGGGTGGCTGCCGGGGGACACTGGCAGATGGGTTGTTGCAGGTTTGGGGATCATCTTGGGGTCCCCTGGGTCTCAGGGTGTCCAAGGCAAGACACACAGCCAATGGCTGGACATTCAGAGCCTGGGGGGAGGCTGCAGATGAGTGTGGGAGGTAGCATTTGAGAGGGTCGACCCCTAGGCCGTGAGTTCCTTGAATACGAGTGGTGCCCAGCAAGGGCTGGGGCCGCTGCTGTGACCCAGGGCCCCTCTCTCCCACAGCCCCACCAGCATGGGCAGCCTGGCCCAGAGAGATCTCCAAGATGATGAGGACAAGAACTCAGGTGCTGATCCTGGGCGGAGGAGGTGGTGCAGATGGGAGGGATTACGAAGCGCAGGGCTGGCAAGGTGCAGCGGCTCTCGCCTGTAATCCCAGCACTTTGGGAGGTGGAGGTGGGCGGATCACTGGAGGTCAGGGGTTCGAGACCAGCCTGGGCAACAGGGAGAAACCCCGTTTCTACTAAAAGTACGAAAATTAGCCGGGCGTGGTGGCGTATGCCTGTAATTCCAGCTACTCGGGAGGCTGAGACAGGAGAATCACTTGAACCCAGGAGGTGGAGATTGCAGTGAGCCGAGATTGTGCTACTGCACTCCAGCCTGGGTGACAGAGCGAGACTCCATCTCAAAAAAAAAAAAGTGCAGGGCTGAGGCTGAGATGGGATGGGGCCCCCCAAACTTGCATGTCAGGCCTTGCCTAGGATTCTCATTTGGTTTCCAGTAGTCCCCAACCCTAGTACTGACTGGGTTTGGGGTATTTGACTCAGGATTTGGGGGCGGCATGCCCAGAAAGATCTGGGCTGCCTGCTGGATGTATGGCCTTGGACACCCGAGAGCCCATCACCGAGCCTCAGTTTGCCTCCCTCTGTAAAATGTATAGGCCTGAACAGGTCTCCCAGGGCCTGTTCTCTTCGTCTCAGGACTGGCCCATGGCCGGGGGTGTGGGGGGGTGACCACTCTCACAATCCACTTGTGCCCACGCCACCTATGGGCAGGGGTCTGGTAGGTCCCTAGGTGGTGCCTGCTGCCCGACTGTCTTTAGGGGCTCCGACATCTCTGGCCTTCCCGGCACCTGGGTCCCTCGGGCCCCATTAGCCCTCCTCTGGGTGGTGGTTAGGGCTGTTTTTCCTGGCCCTCGAGCTCCAGCGACGCCCAGCTCTGCCCTCGTTACAGCATTCACCTGGGAGGTCCAGGCCAACAACCGCGCCTACAACGTGCAGTTCAAGGAGAAGGTGTTCCTGTGCTGGCAGAAGAAGAAATACAAGGTGGGCAGCCCTTCCCGTGCCTCCCCGGCCCCCAGAGGAGCTGCCGTGGCACCCCTGGGGAATCTATTTTTTGCACCTCTTGAGTCCTGCCTCTGCTTGTATTTGCTTGATATTTTTCTTTTCTTTTTTTTTTTCTGTTTTGTTTTGAGACGGAGTCTCGCTCCGTCGCCCAGGCTGGAGTGCAGTGGTACGATCTCGGCTCACTGCAACCTCCGCCTCCAGGGCTCAAGCAATTCTCCTGCTCTGCCTCCTGAGTAGCGGGAATTACAGGGGTGCGCCACCACACCCGGCTAATTTTTGTATTTTTAGTAGAGACGGGGTTTCACCACATTGGTCAGGCTGGTCTAGAACTCCTGACCTCAGGTGATCCACCTGCCTCGGCCTCCCAAAGTGCTGGGATTACAGGTGTGAGCCACTGTGCCCAGCCTCTTTTTTCTTTTTTCTGTTTTGTTTTGAGACAGAGTCTCGCTCTGTCGCCCAGGCTGGAGTGCAGTGTTGAGATCTCAGCTCACTGCAACCTCTGCCTCCTGGGTTCAAGCGATTCTCCTGCCTGAGACTCCTGAGTAGCTGGGATTACAAGCACCCACCACCATGTCCCTCTAATTTTTTGCATCTTTAGTAGAGATGGGGTTTCATCATGTTGGTCAGGCTGGTCTGGAACTCCTGACCTCAAGTGATCCACCTGCCTTGACCTCCTAAAATGCTAGGATTACAGGGGTGAGCCACCACATCCGGCCGGTATTTTTATTTTCATCTCGAGGACCGAAGCGCCCGTCCTAAGCAAATCATTGGTTTGGCACAAGAGTTCTGGGTGTCTCATTTGGCCTGTCCCAGTGCACGTGACGGTAAATTAATACCCAACCTGAAAGTACAACGTGTCCATCGGGCCCTGAAATCCTCCTGGGTGTCCTGCTTTGGGAAATGCTGGTCACAGCTCAACGAGTCTTTGCACTCAGTAGAAGCTCAATTAATGCTGGCTCCAGGCTTTTGCATTACTGAGCAGGTGCTCAGTAAATGCTGCCCGGGGCCTTGCATTCAGCAGGCTCAGTAAATGCTGCCCGGGGCCTTGCATTCAGCAGGTGCTCAGTAAATGCTGCCTGGGGCCTTGTATTCAACAGGTACTCAGTAAATGCTGCCCTGAGGCCTTGCATTCAGCAGGTGCTCAGTAAATGCTGCCCGGGGCCTTATATTCAGTAGGTGCTCAGTAAATGCTGCCCTGAGGCCTTGCATTCAGGAGGTGCTCTGTAAATGCTGCCCTGGGCCTTATATTCAGTAGGTGCTCAGTAAATGCTGCCCTGAGGCCTTGCATTCAGGAGGTGCTCTGTAAATGCTGCCCTGAGGCCTTGCATTCAGGAGGTGTTCAGTAAATGCTGCCTGGGGCCTTGTATTCAGCAGGTGCTCAGTAAATGCCGCCTGGAGCCTTGCATTCAGGAGGTGCTCAGTAAATGCCGCCCTGGGGCCTTGCATTCAGGAGGTGCTCAGTAAAACGTGGCTTCAAGTCTTTGCATTCAATAATTAACCCTGGCTCCAAGTTTTGAATTCAGCAGGTGCTCAGTAAATGCTGGCTTGAGGTCTTGCATTTATTAATAATGCTGGCTTGAAACTTTGCATTCAGCAGGTGCTCAGTAGGTGCTTAATGAATGGTGTCCCATAGCCCAGAGGATTCTGGGCGAGGCCAAGTGGGGCAGGTCTGGCCTTGGGCACCCCCATCCCCTGGCCTGGAAGGCACCCCCTGCCACGTGGCCTGCGGCTCTTGTTCCAGACCAACGTCATCCGCACGGCCAAGTACAACTTCTTCTCGTTCCTGCCGCTGAACCTGTACGAGCAGCTCCACCGGGTGTCCAACCTGTACTTCCTCCTCATCATCATCCTGCAGGTGAGGCACGTCACCTCCTGCAGGAGGTCCCCCCTAGCCACCTGGCAGCATCGATGTATTTGTCTATGTGATGGGTGGGTTCATGTCCCGCTCCCCACAGACTGGGACCCTCATCACTGAGTCCCTACTACCCTGCCCAGGGCCTGGCACACAAGAGGTGCTCAATACACGTTGAATGATGAAGGTGGATGGACGGACCCTCCAGGTCTGATGACGGCACCCTCTCCATGCCCCGTTGGTTCCTGCTGGGCAGGGCTGGGTGTCGGGAGGCATAGCCGTTCCCCAGCCTAGACAGCCTCGGCCACGCAGCTCCCCTAGCCCCCGCCCTCCTAGCTGACCTCAGAGGCGAGGGGGAAGGAGGAGCCCAGAGCATGTTCTCTGAGACCTGCAGAGTCACATCCTGGTACCTGGGTGGTCCAGGCCAGCGTGGGGCCAGCATCCGGCCAGGGGTGCTGTTTTCAGAGCACCCACCCTCACCCAACATCTTATTTCGGTTCTGGATACAGAGGTTCTCCTTTTATCCATCGAGTCATTCAGCATTAATGGAGTAACTACTGTGTGCAGGCCACTGACCGGGCACTAGGGTGGGGGATGGTGGAGCTCACACCTGCAGGGTGACCTGGGGAAGCAGGAACACGGGAGGGAGGGGGAGCAGTGAGGGCCAAGCTTGGGGCTGGGGAAGGCTCCCTGGAGGAGGCAACGTGGGAGCTGGGCTTGGACGGGAGAAGAGGAGTTTGCTGGGGAGACGAGGTGTGTGGGAGAAGTTCCAGGCAGGTGGAGGGATGCCAGCGGTTTGTCCTAAGGGCTGGGGGGTGCAGGTGATGGCTGGAGCCCGGCCAAGGTGGCCAGCAGATGGTGTCACATGGTGCGGGGCTGGGTTGGCTTGGTGGAAGGGCAGGGGACGGGGGAGGGGGCTGGTGTGACCCTTCCTGTGGCCCCCTCCACGTCAGAGCATTCCCGACATCTCCACGCTGCCCTGGTTCTCGCTCGGCGCCCCCATGGTCTGCCTCGTCTTCATCCGTGCCACCCGGGACCTGGTGGACGACATCGTGAGTGCTGTTGGACGCAGCTGCCTGGGGGAGGGGGCGGGGACGGGGGGGGTCTCTTGAGCCCTGGGTGAGAGTGAGAGCGGGAGAGGGCTGGGCTTCCTGGAGCATTAGGGGAACATGGGCCTGGGAGCCTCCGCTGTTGGGGCTACGTTGTCCTTATCCACTAGCACCCACATTGAGGAGGTGCCGCTGGTGGCATTGGCTCCGCCGGCTGCGTGGTTTCGGGGCCGTTGAGCTTTGGTGGGGTGGTGGTCTGGCAGGCACACTAGGTGGTGGGCAGCACACGTATCTTCTCCCCGCCGACAGCAGTGGGTCCAGTGGCCCCCATGCCCGGGATCCCTGGGCAGACACAACGTGGCATGGGGCCAGCGGACAGGGACCCCGTGTTGCGGGCGGGCACTGCTGGGCTGCGGCGTGGCAGCGGCCTGGGCAGGGGCACGAGAGGCCGGACGGTCTTTCTGATCCTTTCCCTCCTGGCCCAGGGGAGACACAAGAGTGACAGAACCATCAACAACAGACCCTGCCAGATTCTAATGGGGAAGAGGTGAGGCTGGGGCTGCAGCTGGGGATCCCCCAGGACACAGGGGCTCCAGCCCAGCAGGGTCATCGGCCTCGGCAGGGCAGGGTGCCTGGCCAAGTGTCCGTCACCTTCCATGCTCCCCAGTCTCCCGGCTGGTTGAGTCGGATGGGAACTGGCCTGCATTCATTAGGCGTTTGGCTGGGGTGAGGACAGAGGCCAAGGCCCCGATGGCAAACCCCTGGAGAGCTTAGGGCTGGGGCGATGGGGAGGACAAGGAAAGTCTGAAGAGGACGTGGGTGCAGGACCCTGGAGGTCACTGGGTGGGAGCGTGGACCTGCGGGGAGTGGGATGGGAGGCCGGGGAAGGCTTCCGGAGGGGGCAAAGGCCTGGAGGTGGGGACTGCAGCCGCAGGCCCCATGACGTCCGCTTCCTCTGCTCTCCCCATGTGGGGAGGGTCGGCAGAGGGAGGGGCCTCCTTCACAACCCCCTCTCCCCGCAGCTTCAAGCGGAAGAAATGGCAGAATCTGTGCGTGGGGGATGTGGTCTGTCTCCACAAGGACAACATTGTCCCGGTGAGCTGGGGTTGACCCTGAGGTCCCAGAGCCACGCCTCCGCACCGAGAGCGCCCCTCTCAGGGTGGGGGGCGCTGCCACACCCCCAACTTATCTTGCATCCCTTCTTGCAACGCTGCTCCCCACTCCACCCCAGGCTGACATGCTCTTGCTGGCCAGCACGGAGCCCAGCAGCCTGTGCTACGTGGAGACGGTGGACATTGACGGGTGAGGAGCTGTGGCATCGCTGGGGACCCTAGGGGGTGGGGCACATGGCCCGGAGGAGCCCCCTTCCCCGATCACCAAGGAGGCGGCCAGCCAAGGTCACCCAGAGACTCTGGTCACTCACCCCATGAGTGTCTGGGGGGTGGGTGCTGCCAGGCACTGAGGGGAGGGAGATGCCCACTCTCCCCATTGTTTCATTGCTGGAGGCCCCCTTGTGTGCAGCCCTAGGCCCTGGCCTCAGCACTTTGGCAAACATGCTGTGTGGCCTTGGGCAAGGCCTTCTCCCTCTCTGGACCTCAGCCATCTGACTGGCAGCTGGCAAACTAGTAGGTGCTCAGTGAAAATGTCTGAGTGACTCCAGAAGGGGTCCGGGGGCTCCTCGAAGCAACCGTCACCCCATTTTCACCTCTCTTCACCTCCCTCCTCTCCTCGTCACCAGGGAGACCAATTTGAAGTTCAGACAGGCCCTGATGGTCACCCACAAAGAACTGACCTCTGTAAAGAAGATGGCATCCTTTCAAGGTGAGCGGCATTGAGCAGGGAATCACGTCCCCCAAATCTGTAAAAGTTAAACATTAAGGTATTTTGTTGTTGTTATTACTGTCTTACAAAAAAATGTGCTGGCCAGGCCCAGTGGCTCACGCCTGGAATCCCAGCACTTTGGGAGGCTGAGGCAGGAGAATCACTTGAGCCCAGGAATTCAAGACCAGCCTGGGCAACATCGCGAGACCCCATCTCCACAAAAAATAAAACAATTAGCTGGGCATGGTGGCATGTGCCGGTGGTCCCAGCTACTTGGGAGGCTGAGGTGGGAGGCTCGCTTGAGCCCAGGGAGGCTGAGGCTGCAGTGAACTGTGATCACATCACTGCACTCAGCCTGGGCAACAGAGTGAGGCCCCTGTGTCAAAACCACAAATAAAATGCTACATTCTATTAAGTGTAAAATTTAACCACGACACAGTCACGTTTGGTTGTTTCATTGAAAAGGCACCTGCGTGCGTGGGCTGGCGATTCCTGTGGTGGGAATGGCCTCTAAGAACGGAGTGCTGACCCCGTCCCACTGCTTGGCTGCTTCTTTTCCTTTTCTTTTCTTTTTGAGATGGAGTTTCGCTTCTGTTGCCCAGGCTGGAGTGCGGTGGCATAATCTCAGCTCACCGCAACCTCTGCCTCCCAGGTTCAAGCGTTTCTCCTGCCTCAGCCTCCCGAGGAGCTGGGATTACAGGCACCTGCCACCACGCCTGGCTAATTTTTGTATTTTTAGTATAGATGGGGTTTCATCATATTGGTCAGGCTGGTCTCAAACTCCTGACCTCAGGTGATCCACCTGCCTTGGCCTCTGAAAGTGCTGGGATTATAGGCATGAGCCACCGCGCCCGGCCAGCTCCCTTATTTAACGCCGTCAGGGCACAGAATCATAGACGGACAGTGACTCTTCCTCTGGCACTCCTCCCGGGGTGAGCAAGGATGCTTTTGCAGGCCCTGGCCTCCTCCCTCTGCCCCAGCATTCTCACCGGGCACGGACCCATTTTTCAGAGGAAGAGACTGAGGTTCAGAGAGGCGGCCTGAGGTGTGGGCTTGCCCTGTAGTTCCTCTGCCCTCTGGCCATCCCACCATGGATGTCTCCAGTTCCTACATTCAGGACGGAGTCAGGCTCCCCATCCCTAAGACGTGATGGGGAGGCAGATGAGGACCCTTCAGGAACCCTGTGGCCCCTCTCCCTTCTGGGGTCCCAACCCACGCTTCATTGTCATTTTAACCCTCACCGAATGCTGCCCGGGCCAGTCCGTGTGGTCCGAACCTGTTTCCTCCAGCGGAAGTGAGAACATTGCAGGGTGTTGGGGAATGGGGGGTGGTGGTGGTGGACGGGCTCCGGCACCCAGGAGGAGGCTCATCGATCAGGTGTCCCTTCTCCTCTTCCCTCTTGATACATTTATTGAGCACCTACTGTGTGCAGGTGCTGGGCCGTGCCCTGGGGTGAGAGTGTGGCTGAGACGAGGCTGGCGCCCGTTCTCAGGGAGCTCATAGACAGTAACAATAGCTTTGCGCAAATAAACATCGCATCATGTGCTGGGATCAGAACCACGAGGGCGGGAGCTAGGAGCTAGGAGGGGCTGATCTGGCTGGAGGATCAGAGAAGTGTGAGTCCCCGTGGAAGGAACAACCTGCCCAAAGTCCCTGAGGCCAGGCGGGGACAGGAGGGCTTTGGAGCCTTCCTGAGGCAGCCCTGTGCTGGGGCGCCAGAGGGCAAGTTTGGGGCACTGAGGGGCTTGTGAGGGTGGCCAGAATGTTCTCACCTGCACCCGGCGCAGGGAACCTGGGGAGGAGGGCCTGAGCCCACTGACCACTGACCACCTGGCTGCCCACAGGCACAGTGACATGTGAGGCGCCCAACAGCCGGTTGCACCACTTTGTGGGGTGCCTGGAATGGAATGACAAGAAATACTCCCTGGACATTGGCAACCTCCTCCTCCGAGGCTGCAGGATTCGCAACACAGACACCTGCTATGGAATGGTCATTTATGCTGGTACGGCTGCTCTCGGGTCCTGGAGCGGGAGCTGTCCCGATGGGGACGTGGTGGATGGATATGGGGATGGGTGGGTGGATGGGTGCATGGATGGATAGACAAATAGATGGGTAGATGGGTGGGTGGGTGGATGGATGTGGGGATGGGTGGGTAGATGGATAGACAAATAGGTGAGTAGATGGGGGCGTGGTGGATGGGTGTGGGATGGGTGAGTGATGGGTGGGTGGACGAGTGGGTGGGTGGGTGGATGGATGGATGGATAGATGGATACGTGTTTGCAAACCTTGCAGGTTTTGACACAAAAATTATGAAGAACTGTGGCAAGATCCATTTGAAGAGAACCAAGCTAGACCTCCTGATGAACAAGCTGGTGGTTGTGGTGAGCTGCCAACAAGTGCCCCTGCCCCAGGAACACAGAGGAGGGTCGGTCAGGGATGTCATCTTCCAGGCCTCAGTTTCCTTCTTCTGCAAAATGTGTAGCCTGATCCTGTGGGCAGGTCTTTGGGCCAGAAAATCTTTCATTAAAGTAATTTAAAAAAAAAAGTTTTATAAAATAATAATGATTATTTATTTAAATTATTATTTTTTTTAGAGGTGGAGTCTTGCTTTGTCACCCAGGCTGGAGTGCAGTGGCACAATCTTGGTTCACTGCAACCTCTGCCTCCCGGGTTCAAGCAATTCTCCTGCCTCAGCCTCTCGAGTAGCTGGGACTATAGGTGCCTGCCGCCACTCCTGGCTAATTTTTTTGTATTTTAGTAGAAACGGGGTTTCACCATGTTGCCCAGGCTGGTCTTGAACTCCTGAGCTCAAGCAATCTGCCCTCCTCAGCCTCCCAAAGTGCTAGGATTACAGGCATGAGCCACCATCCCCAGCCAAAATAAATATTTTTTTTAGGCTGGGAGAGATGGCTTATGCCTGTAATCCCAGCACGTTCTGGGACCGAGGTGGGCGGATCACCTGAGGTTGGGAGTTTGAGACCAGCCTGAACAACATGGTGAAACCCCGTCTCTACAGAAAATTGAAAATTAGCTGGGTGTGGTGGCAGGCACCTGTAATCCCAGCTACTTGGGAGGCTGAGGCAGGAGAATCACTTGAACCCCGGAGGTGGAGGTTGCATGAGCTGAGATTGTGCCACTGTACTCCAGCCTGGGCAACAGAGCAAGACTCTGTCTCAATAAATAAATAAATAAATAAATAAATAAATAAATAAATAAACAAACAAACAAACAAACAAACAAACAAAAATAAATGTTTTTCGGCCGGGGCCAGTGGCTCACGCCTGTAATCCCAGCACTTTGGGAGGCCGAGGCGAGTGGATCACGTGGTCAGGACATCTAGACCATCCTGGCTAACACGGTGAAACCCTGTCTCTACTAAAAATACAAAAAATTAGCTGGGCGTGGTGGTGGGCGCCTGTAGTCCCAGCTACTCAGGAGGCTGAGGCAGAGAATCTCGTGAACCCGGGAGGCAGAGCTTGTGTGAGCTGAGATCTGGCCACTGCACTCCAGCCTGAGACTCCGTCTCAAAAAAAAATAAATAAATAAAAATAAAAATAAATAAATAAATAAATAAATAAACAAATGTTTTTCGATCTCACTGTATTGCCCAGGATGGAGTGCGGTGGCGCCATAATAGCTCACTGCAGTCTCCTAGGCTCAAGCGATCCTCTGGCCTCAGCCTCCGGGGCAGCTGAGACTACAGGTGTGTGTCACCATGCCTGACTAATTTATTTCTTAAGTTTTTCATCGAGATGAGGTCTCACTTTGTCACCCAGGCTGGTCTTGAACTCCTGACCTCAAGCCACCCGCCTGCCTCAGCCTCCCGAAGTGCTGAGATTACAGGCGTGAGCCACCGTGCCCAGCCCCAGCCTTATGTTTGTGTTCACCCCATCCCGATGGCAGAGTGGGGGACCCCTGCCCCCGTCACCCACCCCGTCGCGTCTGCCTTCCAGATCTTCATCTCCGTGGTGCTCATCTGCCTGGTGTTGGCCTTCAGCTTCGGTTTCTCCGTCAAAGAATTCAAAGGCCAGCACTACTACCTCTCAGGGCTGCACGAGAGCAGTGTGGCCGCAGAGGCCTTCTTCATCTTCTGGGGCTTCCTCATCCTGCTCAGCGTCACCATCCCGATGTCCATGTTCATCCTGTGAGTCCCTGCCGGCCGCGCGCCCGGTGCAGACACAGAACGGGGAGGCATGGGGGAAGGCGCACAGCAGGCGGGGCTGACCGTGACCCCGAGTGCCTCTGCAGGTCTGAGTTCATCTACCTGGGGAACAGCGTCTTCATCAACTGGGACGTGCAGATGTACTACCAGCCGCAGGACGTGCCCGCCAAGGCCCGCAGCACCAGCCTCAACGACCACCTGGGCCAGGTGGAATACATCTTCTCGGACAAGACGGGCACGCTCACGCAGAACATCCTGACCTTCAACAAGTGCTGCATCAACGGCCGCATCTACGGTGTGGCCCCAACCCCTGAGCTCCCGGCTGGGTCCTCGATCTCCAAGGGGCTCGGGGTGCCCGAGAACCAGAGCCACGTCTGGCCCCAAGCCCAGCACCCCCGCCCGAATCAGAACCAGGGAACTGTAGCAAGATGGCCTGGTTTTTTTTTTTTTAGAGGGGGCCAGCAAACTTTTTTTTTCTCTCTTTTTTTTTTTTTTTTTTGAGACAGAGTCTGGCTCTGTCTTTTTTCTCTCTTTGAGACAGAGTTCTGCTCTCGTTGCCCAGGCTGGAGTGCAGTGGTGCGATCTCGGCTCACTGCAACCTCTGCCTCCCGGGTTGATTCTTCTGCCTTGGCCTCCCGAGTAGCTGGGATTACAGTTGCATGCCACCCGGCCTGGCTAATTTTTGTACTTTTTTTCAGATGGGGTTTCACCATGTTGCCCAGGCTGGTCTCGAACTTCTGACCTCAGGTGATCTGCCTGCTTCAGCCTCCAAAATATTGGCATTACAGGCATGAGCCATCACACCTAGCCAAACTTTTAAACAGTATTTTTTTTTTTTTTTTGAGATGGGGCTTTGCTCTGTCGCTCAGGCTGGAGTGCAGTGGTACAATCACAGCTTACTGCAGCCTGGAATTCCTGGGCTCAGGCAATCTTCCCACTTCAGCTTCCCAAGTAGCCAGGACTACAGGAGCATGCCACCATATTCAGCTTATTTTTGTATTTTTTGTCAAGACAGGGTATCCCTATGTTGCCCGGGCTGGTCTTGAATTCCTGGGCTTAAGCGATCTGCCCGCCTCCGCTTCCCAAAGCGCTGGAATTACAGATGTGAGGGTGTGAGCCACCATGCCTGGCCACCATTCCTCTTTTGACTTTCACAAGCCTTTATTTGTGAATGCTGAAATTCGAATTTCTTGGGTATTTCCCAGATTGCAAAACAGTTTATTTTTTTGGGCCTACAGAGATAGGACCACCATCTCCTAAGGAACAATAAAGAATAAAAAAGTGACTGGGCGACGGATGGCTAACGCTAGTAATACCCAGCATTTAGAAGAAGGCCTAAGGAGGGCGGATCACGAGGTCAGCGAGTATTGAGCCAGACCTGGCCAACATGGTAAAACCCTAGTCTCATACATAAAATACCAATAGAGCCCAGGCGTAGTGACAGGCGCCGTCATCCAGCCTACTCAGGAGGCTGAGACACCGGAGAATCAGCTTTGAACCAGGAGGCATGAGGTTGCAGTGAGCTGAGCTTGTCCACCGCACTCCAGCACTAGAAAGCGAACAGAGGCATGGCTCTGTCTCAAAAATAAAAAAATAAAAATATAAATACAATAAAAAACAACAAAAACACACCAGGACGTGGGAAACCAAAATATGCCCACGGATGAGGGCTGCTCCCGCTCGGCCGA